CTTCTGTAGCGGTTTTCTCGCTTCGGTATTCATCTTTTGCAGCTGCGAGATTTGGGCGATGGCTTAGTTAGGTGCTGTTATATACCATCAAAATCTCATCAACCCTAATTTGGGTGGACGGTGCCTTTAAATTCTGTTTCCTTGCTTAGCATGATAATCATGATCAGAATATCAGAAGTGGTAAAATAGACAAAAACAGATATGCTTATAAACAGAAACAACGCAGGTCTTAGCCAAAAGCCATGCAGACCTGCCCTCTTTCGCCGTCGTACTTCCATTCGCATGCAAATACCGCCTCCCCAAAACGTCTCATTATCTCGCCAATTCCTTTTGTAGGATGAGCAAGCATCGGCTTCAACGGTATGCCTAAACTCATCTCGTAAACTTAGATCAACAACAGCGCCAAAGTCAAACCTGGAGTCAATTTGCACTTCTCGTTTATATTCTCGATGCCTTCTGAGAGCGCAATCGGAATTATTTTTCCGTAGTTTGGACATTGGCTGAAGTGAATGACTTAGATACAATCTAATAGATGCTGTGGGATATCACCAGTAAGTGGTCTTCATGAGCAAGACATGCTCACTTTTGAGGACATCTGCAGCAGACGATGAAAGCTTCAGACCTCAAACCAATCATATGAAACACATAAAAATCCAAAGTGAGCGTACGAAGTTAGTCAGCCAGGCATTACTTACCTTTCTTCTTGATGTGTTCTTTCGTGAAAGCATTAGCGAGGGCCACCAACACACTTTGCTCGGCAAGGCCAATGCGAAGCTTTCCTTCAAGTGAACGAACAAGATATCTAGCCTCTGCTCCCCGACATGCGACTATAAGGCCTTTGATGAGCTCCACTTTCTTGTTCATTGACTGGAACATGTTCATCATCACCTTAGAAGACAGATGAATGTAAGATTTCTTACCGCTGCTCCGGTAAGTTTCGCGATATCTGTCAGCTTTGCAAACACGGACTGTACTGTATGCGGCTTGGGAGTAAAACCAAAAGCTTTGCATAATGAGCTTTGGTTTTGCCGAGACTGTTGGGCAATAATACCTATAAAAACTTTCACTAAATAAACAAGACTGTACAGACTATACTATAGACTGTACAGACAAGACTATACAGTCAATCGACGATAACGACGAGTGCAGCGCAGTGCATAAAATTGCTGCAGCTCAAGAGATGCGCGCAGGCAACCTCAAGCGACAAGCTTATGGGACACGGTCGCCCTCCTTTTCGCGGGCTCACGAGATATTGCCATGCGTTTTCTAATGTGCATAGGCCTGCTGGCAGAAGTACTCTATACAAAACAAGTCCACAGGGTTTGGCACACCCGCTTATCAAATTAATCGCCATAGTCAAAACCTTGGCAAAATCCTTCTACAATTCCTCTTACATTTTTTCGCCTTCTTGTCCATTGTGCTACATTTCTTGCCAACAGTAACCTATAGCTTACTGCTCGAAGGCGTTGTGTTATGTGACAGGACAAGACTGCTCGACAAAATAACAACAGATAAAAGCTGTATGAATCATGAGATGCCAACACATGAATTACCATTCAATCTTTGACCAAGAGAGACAAGTACGCTTTATGTACCGAGTTTCTGACAAGTTTATTAGTTTCAACAAGTTTTGCAAAACTACTACTAGATTTCGTGAAAAACATGTTCGAACTTGTCAAATAACGCAGATTCGTACATTTTCTTTCATGAAATCACAGTAATAATTTACCAAAACGCGTTGTGTTAACCAGACGTACCAAAAAGTGCTTGTGTCTTTTAGTCAGAGAATGAATGATAAATATGATCGGCTCCCAGAATCGTATGGAGGTGTATTGCGAACTTCCCCCTGATAACATGAATAAACTTGTGAAACCTCGTTGTAGCATTGCTTTTCGTACTCTCCCGCTCGCAAAAACCGCCAGACTGTGAGTTGACATGACTCACCTCCACACCAATCTGGGAGCCGATGATACAGCTAGTGTAGACATTACAAGTGAAAATGAGTAGTAAAAAGCCAGCTCACCCAAATCACCCTTTTTCTGCATCTCCTCCTTGATTTTATCTACCGTTCGACCTGTAGCCTGTGCGACTGCCTAAATCATATGGAAATCACCCGAAGATTACCGTCGATAAAAGCCATATACCTTTATGATGGTGTGCTCAGCAATCCCGAGCTCGATACCTTCATAAGCCGGTCCCAGTTGATTCACACACAAGTAAACACAGGCTAACAAGTCATCAGGTGAATACTCTATTACCTTGGAATAGAATCCAGCCAGTTCATCAATAATTCTCAATCTCAAATAGAAATAATCACACCATGTCAATTTGCAAGCTTATACACTATATTCACTCAATAATGCCGTGATATATACCTCTTCGATTCCCCTTCTATGTTGCTGAGAACGTTGGCTAGCTCCAGGTATGGCACTCTGGACAATGAAATTAGACGGAATAAAAACTCTCAACTTCAGTTAACGCAAAATTCGTTACCTTGAACCAGCAGTCCACTCCGCTTGTTTCGCGATGTTTTCCTTTGCCGGCATCATTACCAGCCTGCACGAAACTTGTCTGAGCTCACACAGCTGTAAACGAAAAATTTTCGAAGCAGCTTTCATGAATAAAACTACAAAATATAGAGTTTATATGCCCAACAAAGTCATAATGTATGGAGCTTATGAATATCACACGAATTCGGCACCATACTTTGACTCTTTTGCAGCACGATGAAGATTTAGACGAGTAATCAAAGTTCTCAACACGCCCCAAGTCGTCACCAAAGCTCAGGAAGACCCAGATTTCTACCACTACACCTGCCACGATTCCACAATGACGTTGTGCGTCGATTTACCAGCGGCTTATATTCAGCATACAAATCAAAAACATGAAGATTTCGTGCAGGTGTGTGCACGTATTTACCTGTTTTCTCAAAAAGAGTACGCGACGAAATAACAGCTTTGCCTGAAAAAGGCACAAATGAGGATAGACTACAGCATGCAAAAGTTTACACTGTGGATTACCGAGATAGTATGAAAAAGTCATCGAGTTTAAGCTAGGAGACAAAAATACAGGACTGAGAGCCATTTGCTAGCATGTGCACTATTACAAGCAAACTGAACTTCCGACAATGCATATCTTCAAGCGAAAGAATGCAGGATTAAATACAAAACATCTGTGCAAAATGCTTAAAGACGACAACAACTTGTTTACTAATAAAATCTTCTGTTTTCCCGTATGTCGTACAACTGGGATTTCGCGCAATTTTTGCATAGTAGCTGCGGCGCGGATGGTATCCTTATAGCGCGTTCAGGAATCGACCAGTCCATCGAATGGTCAGAAACAGATAAAGGATATTCGTCGACGACATCCCCGTTTCGTGCATTT